GACGGGTTTTTCCAAAGCAAATATTGCAAATGAAAATAAATGCATATATGCTCTAATAAAATCAATAATACTAAGAATATTATAAAACCTACTATTAAGTTGTCATAGAACAACTAAGAGTTTGCTATATGGTACTCACAACTCCAGTGAGGCAGAAAATAATGATACCTAGATGCTACCTGAATTCTGAGAAACAATTCATCCACAAATGCCACAAATACTTAGCGACATTTCTGTTTGGTCTCCAAATCTCATACTCCTCTCCATGCCCGTTTCAGTCCTGCTGATCTTCTTACCGTCTCCCCTGCCTTAGTTAGGGCCCTGTAAGCAAAGCTAACATGACTAAGTTGTCTATTCAACTATGAGTTAACACACACAACTCCTTACTCCTCTTCATCAGTAAGGTCTTACTGAACGCTTATGAAGTAAATGCTTTCATTTGGATCAGCAATTTTTAAACCTGTCTAAGAATCAATGGGCAGGTTTTAAAAAGCTGATTTTTATTTCAGGCCCATTCACTAAAGATTCTAATTCAGTCTGTGGTAGGATCCAACAAGCCGTGGTCTAGGAAAATCCCCAGGAGCCCAATGCTCAGTACTGAAGCCGTGCACGGATCCAGGTGCTGTGGGGCACCCACGAAAGGAGATTCAGCACAACCATTATGACGCTTACACAGCTCAGTAAGGAGGACTAAGACCTAGATACAGTAAACATCGTAAGGCAATTGGGTTGCTCTGTATCAGCAGAAATCCAAAAAAGGGGCCACCATGTTACTAATCGGGAAAGAATTACAAAGCTTTTAGTATGGCGGGTAGAGAGGCTCAGGACATCAGGCAAGTTAAGAGTGCATTCCACCACTGAGCCAAGGGATGGAGATGGCAGGGCTAGCGAGGGCCTTGGGGTAGAGAGGTGCAGTAAGAAAATTCACTTAGAACGGAGAGGTGAGGAATAGTAAAATTAAAGTTGTACAGTTAAGAAAAGCCTAAAACGCAAAAAGCCTTGAAAAACAGAAAGAAGAGTTTGGAGTCGGTGTTACAAATCAGTGTTCTTCGACTCTCTTGAGCTAGGCTTTCTTAAACAGAACAATGTGCCCTAAGTACAAAACAATAATGCTAAGTGCTGTAACAAATAAATGCAAAAATTGCAGTAACTTAATACTCTGAGAATGTCATTCGGACAAGGTTAGGTGGCCTTCTACATGCATTCAGAGACCAAGGTTGGTCCTATCTTATAGGTTTTGCCCTCTCAAAGATTTCCATTCAGCTAGTGCAGGGTTCAGCAAACTATTTTTGTAAAAGGCCAAACAATATTTTTGGCTTAGCAGGCCACACAGTCTACTACTCAACTCGCACAGAAGTAGCCATGCGCAAATGGGAGGGCTGTGCTCCAATAAACATTATTTACAAAAACGGCAGCAAGCCAGGTTTGGCCCCCAAATCTTATTTGCAGCCCCCGGTCTCGGGTATGGAGGAAGAGAGGCAAAATGAAGCAGACCTGGAAGTGGTACACGTCTCTTCCACTAACTCCTGAATAAGCCAGAACTCAGTCACCTGGTCCCCAACGAACGTCTAGCTGTGTCTGTTTAACAAACAAAAAAAGGCAAATCTGGTTTGGTGAACACACCCTCCAGTTTCCACTTTCCATCGGTAAAGAAGAAGTGGTTGTGAACAAATGATTGAAAATGATATAACAAACATCTCGGTGTATTTGTTTTTGGGAAACTATACACTGCTGATACTGGGAGATGGAAGAGCCTGACTAAGAGCAACTGCAGGAAAAAGCATTTCCAAAAGCCCTGTTCTTGGTTGAAGTAACCTGACAGAAAGCCTAACTCATTTCCCCTATCAGTTCTATGCAAGACTATGGGATCCATTCCAAGAACAGAAGCAAAATGCAGTCGCTTTGTGATTCACAGGGTGATCTCTTCAGGTGGATTTTACTGACACTAAGAAATAAAAACTAGAACTACTAAGGAAGTTTTCCTCGGTACTTTAAACATTTTTGGCATAAAGCAAATCATACACGATTCACTTAGAGGGTAAGAGTATATGGGGCCGGCCGAGTGGCGCGATGGTTAAGAACTCGCTTGGGATGCCAGAGGGCCCCGGTTCGGATCCCACATATGAGGGCCAGTGACACTGCCCTCCACAGCTAAGATGCTGAACAACAGCTCAACCTGGAGCTGGGCTGCCGTGAGTCGCCGGCGACGGCGTAGGCTGCAGCCCCTGTGGCAGTGGGTTGCCATGGGCTACCGTGTGTAGCCAGCAGCCAGCGTGAGTGGCCAGCAGCCGCAGTGAGCGGCCGTCCAGAAGCCGGCGCCTGATCTGCCTCACCAGGGAAGAGCGCAATGACGGTGCCAACTTGGGCCAGTGAAGCAACATCCTCCACAACTAGATTGAAGAACAAAAATGACAGCAACTTGTCTGTTCCCCTTCCCCCAGTTCCCCAGCACTGTTCCCATCCCCCCAATTCCCCAATAAAAATCTTAAAAAAAAAAAAAAAAAAAGAGGGTAAGAGTATGGTTACCACACACCTGCACGCACAGGTGAGCCAGTTCACTCACGAGAACACAATCCAGTTGCACAGCCATGTATCTTACCCTTAACTTTGTTCAGCATCCTCCTTGGGGCATGAGAATCCGGGAAACTCTATAAAGAGACCTACTTAGCACTACCGGAAAAAATACTTCACAGCATGTGTCCCAGTGATGGGAGTCTGCAGCTTCAAAAGTGCATTTGGTTTAGATGTTAACGTGAGAAATCTAAAATGTCTCATCTGACTGAAGTGTGACACTGGGAGGAAAGCAGGAGAATGTGTTATGGACAGCCAAAGCCACCTCCACTCTGTCCTCCCAAATTCCACCCAAGATAAAGCTGCTTTTCAGAAATCTGAACTGCACTCTCTTCCCAGATCTATTTATACTCGAGCCTTTTGGAATATACTATCATTAGAGCTACCCCTTTTTTGCAAATGTTTTAAATTTACCACAAAGATGGTTTGTGACACAAAAAGGAAGAGGAACTTCCCAGGAATTGACCAATGTTTCTGTCCTCATATCTGGCATCTCACAGAATGCGAAGATGAAAGAATGTGAACAAAAAGCCTTAGAAATTAAAAACCTACTTTTTTTTATATACTTGCAATCATTTTATACATGTCATGAAATAGCTCTAATTGTGATAGAAAACCATTACTATTGAAGTTACCCAAACGAGCCCTAAATCTTGTAAAATGCCACATTCACTTTTAAAATCTGTGGCAAGAAATACCCCAAGTATAGGGAAATTAAAGGTTTGAGGACACCTATTTTTCCATATGTTGCCATAATTTAAAAACATTATTTTCCTACCATCTCCTATGTTTTTTGCTTTTTCTTTGACTCTAAAATTATATAAATTAGCCAATCTCTAAGTTATCTCAGAGAGTTGTTTACAACAATCTTCTTCAACCAAAGTTCAGTAAAGGAGAAAAAAAGCAAATGTATTTCTATTTACCCCTTCATATAGGACTTAATGCAGTCTGTGAAGTACACTCTATAAAATACCAAAATAAAATATTTGAGAACAGTGTATCAAAACTATGGGTTCTTTAATACAATATTAATGCCATATGATAAAATGTATTTCTTTGGGGAATAATCTATAAAGAAAACTGACCAATACTTTCTAAAGCCACAGCAAATAACCATTGATTGCTAAAAGAAAACAAAAGAAATACACACTTCCCTTTAAAAGGTTTAAATGCATATTTTTTTAATTAAAATTTATTGGGGTGACAATGCATATTTTAATGTGTCATTAGAAAATTAGAGGAGAGATGAGAGAGCACAGCCTAAAAGGGTGATTGTTAATACTATATTTTCTGTGTATAGTGGGACCAAAAAAAAAGCAGTTTTTTTAATAAAATATGACAAGACAGTATATAAAACATAATAGCAGCCACCATTTATGGGTTCCCTATTTGGGGTCTGGCTTTGTATTATATACTTTATCATCTATCGTCACTGAATCCTACCAAGTAGGCATTATCTTCCTTGTTTCAAAGACGGAGATGTTGAGTTTCATATAGAACAGAGCTGCTACGCCAAGGGTCCCACTCAGGTCTTTACACTATACATTACTGTCTCGAGGAAAAACTGTGTTACATGGCAAACATTCGACCTCACTCTTCTATGGTAACTGTTTAAGATCTCAATAAATTCATCCTGCTCTTTGAGTGAGGTTTCCTTAATTGGTTATTCCATCGTTCACTTCTGCAAAATCCATAATCTTAAATGCATACAGTTCCAACTTGTCTTAAGGAATACGAAAAGTACCACTGCATATGTAACTGAGAACTCAGATTTTGAAAACCTTATCTTTATGATGATAGTGATTATTTCTATGACTATAAATCACCATACAAATATTCTCTGATATGTTTACAGTACCCACAAGGGTCAATGAATTCCAATAAACATTCACAAATAAAACTACTTCTAAACAGCCATTTGATAAGGAGAGTTAACCATTAATACTTAAGTCAGTATTTCTTTTTTTTTTTTTTAAGTCAGTATTTCTTAAAAAACAGCCCATGGGCTGCGACTGGTTCACTAACCCTCTCCAGATAACCCATGGACTAATTCTTGGAAAATAATACATAGAAACACAACATATAATCTAAATTTCTGGCTTTTCTGGCTTGAATTAATACCGCTGGTGATTCACTCTCACCACATCTCATCAAAAGCTATGCCGTTCTCTCCATAATTTCGGTAAGTTCTGGCTCACACAAGTAGAAACAGACTAGGCTAGGGATTAAGAATCTTTCATCCTTCTAAGATAAAAAGTTCAAATCCAAAGACGTATGCAACGTTGTCTGGCACTATAATTCATTATAAAAATAGATTTTTTTTCCAAGTGAAATAAAAGGAATTTAGAATACTCAAGTATTTAAAAGGAATATCTGATACTTTTAAGTACAATATTTTCCAGAGCAAGCTTCCCCCATGTTAAGCTTACCTTGAAGGTGGCATTATATTTGCAGCCCTGAATTTTGTTGTAAACGGATTAGTTGACTCATAATCAAAATAGTCCTGACGATTTTCACTAAACGCATTAGGTGATTTCAAGTCACAAGGGCTATCGGATGATGCCCCATTGTTAAGTTTATCAGATCTTCTGCTATCTTTTTTCCCAGTCACTCTTTCAAACAGGCTAACTTTCTCCCTTTTCTCTCTTTTATTTTCTTTTCTTGCTTCAACTGATTTTGAAAATAAATTCACGCTGCTGTCCCATGATTCACTGCTTTCTTCAAATGGATTTTTCTTCCTTGGCAGTGTCGCAAATTTTTGGGGTAATGATGCAGTCACATTGGTAAATGGGTCATTTTGTCTTCCGAGAGATGATTCACCTTCATCCACGCTGCTGTCAGGTTGGTTCATTTTCGAAGTATCAAAGCTTAATGTTCTTCTGTGTGGCGATTTGAGACTTGCTGCAAACAATTTTGTAGTTAGTACATAACAGTGACATATTACATCACACAATTTGACACATTCTGTGTGCATACTGCTGCTTTTAGAATGAGAACAATTAGCTATTTAAAGATATTAACCTTTAAAATAATCAAAGAAAACAGTCCTAAAATGCTAAGGTATAGCAGCCTGAAGTATGTGGGCTAACAGCAATTAGGATATCACAAGACAATCAGTAATTTACTCCCCTCAGAAAGAAACAATCACAACAACAAACTAGAATGTCAAAACCAGAGGTTCCGCTCAGCATGGTAGTGCTATAAATTCTCAGACTTTTTTTTTCATCATTAGCATTAAATTTACTTTCTTACTTCTGAACATAAAAGGTTTTTTCCTAAGAACTTTCTGATTAAATGGAATATTCATTTGTGCTGCAGGCTTTCAAGACAGGAAAAACAGCAGTAAAAAAAAGAAGCCAGGCCAGGAAAAGTGGCTGGGACTTATTTTTATTATCATCATAACAAAAATGCAATACTGAATTCAGATAGACTCTGCCTTTAATAAACTTATCAATTTTGAGTACAGCAGGTACTCAGTAAAAGACTGGATCACTAAATTTAGAAAATACTACCAAGAAACTAATCTTTATTTTCTAATCTTAGAACTTAAACTTTAAAAATAAAAGGGTATTTCAGGCCAGTGAGGACGCAATTAGAAAGAATGTGTCACTTACCGCTTTCCGGAACTGCTCCAAAGGAATCTATCTGGCGCCCGTGAAGATGCGTTTGACCAATGGTGCCAGACTTCAGTTTCTCAGAAGATATGTGGGCCCCAGTTAAATCAGACATTGAATGTGCTGAAGAGAGTCGCTGAGGACCCAAAAGGAAAGGCTTTTTTGGTTTAGATTTCATCTGCATTTCACCACTTGAAAATTCAGAATTGGCATCAGGCAAGTGAGAACTTGGAATGATTGCAGAAGATGTATCAGAAAATGTCCCATCATTTTTTCTACCTTTCATCTTATCTTTTAATTTTGCAAAAGGAGATCTTGTTTTGTCCTTCATGGATAAGTCAAACATACTTGCTGTCATATTGTTCCTCATGAATTGAATATTGACCTTTATCTCACCCCTGTTTTTGGCTCTTTTTCCTTGTTTAGATTCTAATCTAAACCACCTTAAAGAGAAGGAAAAACTGAGTTGTAACATGTATTGAAGAGAGGATATCAAGCTTTGTTATATACAAATAACTTTTGAGGTAACGCTACTGGCCATCAAGGCAATGCTGAGCAGTGAATGAGAAGCTGTCGGCCAGAGGACTTCTGGATTTACTCATCGTTTAATTTTTTAAAACTTATCACTGTCACATATACTGAAAACACAGGTCTTCAGTAAGTTTGAAAAGGTTTTTCAGATAACCTTTTCTTTATGATTTGCAAATCATTCATCATCAAAAATTCTTACCAATGAGAGTTAGTATGTTTCCTTCTGGGAGAAGTGTTACAAATGGCCTAAAAACATTTTTTAAAGTTAAACAACAAGGAGGTACAGACTCTGAAAGAATCCATCGATCAATACAAACTATTTTTGAGCATATTCCTTAATGATAATCACATTTTTTATAAAATAAATATTTAGCCCCTATCCCAACTGTAACTCTATTAAAAGAATTTTGTTAATGTTGGAGGTCACTATATATAGTTTGCTAATCATGAAAATTGCACATGACATAATTTAGATTAAAGTAAAATGGGTCAAAGCCTTTTCCTATATAAAAAATACAAAATGAACAAAATGCAAAAAGTAACAAAGAGTAACAAATCTTGCAGTTTCTGAAGAAAAAAGCTTAAATGTTTTCTGTTAGAATCTACTTGCTTCATTTACTATTGCTACTGTGAGAATACTGAATAAAAATTATTTTAACTGGAGCCAAATCTTATGCTTTTATAGTCACTTCATTGTATGACATTGCCCACTGTTAAATGATGTATAAAAAGCAAAGTTTATTTTGCTTTCATTTATAGGATTTTTATCCATGAGAAAATCTCCAGTTGTCAGTGTCACAAGTGGTCATTCTATAGGGCAAACAGCCAAAAAACTGCAAAATCAAGCCTAGAAGCGAGTTTCTACAATGTGTTCACATTACTTAACCATGAAGCATAATATCCATTGCTGCAGACAGATTATTACCTAAATATAGCTCTATCAAGTGTAACAAATTTTCCTGGCTACAAAGGAACTCTGATCTAATTTTTGCAGAAGTTCCTTCTCTCATTGTTACCAACAGGATGTGCCCACAAGAAGATACATTTACTATACATCACGTGGAGGATTGGTTCACAGGTCTTTCTGGGCAGGAGAGAAAACTGGCACGTAACATATATACCAGCTACACCTGAGCAAGTAACACCCAAGAGAAATACATTCTTAATCAATACGGAGCAATTCAATCAATTAAGATCTAGCTGCATCAAAACAAGCAATTTTTTAAAAAAGAATATTTTACAATAGCATTAACCTGAGGCCCTAAACCGAGATAACCCCTTATCTGAGGCAAACGGTGAGATCTGGTGAGATCTGGTGAGATCTGAAAGCACCTGGACGAGAGATGACAGCAATAAACTTTGCGGAATAGAGAACCCTGAACAACCCAAAACTGAGTGCTTGAAAAGCCTGGAAATGAAATAAGGATATATACCCAGTTATTGACTTAGTTTTAGAAAACAGAACCATTTTTTTTTTATGGATGAGAAATACTTCTGATGCTTGAGAAATACTCTGTAACATCCCAGGCTTTACAGAATATAGGTGAATACACTTTTTAAGAACTGTACCAAAAACACAACAAAGCAAAAACCCCAAGCATGCAGGATTTCCATATGTAGAACAAAGCAAAGCAAATCTGAGAAAAAAAAATTACCCAATAAATAAAAGCTGATGAGGGTAATCAAAATTCATAGAATTTCAGAAATAAGACCAAATAAATCATCTACTTTAACGTCTTTATTTCATAGATGTGGAAACTGAGGCACAAAGAATAAGTAACTTCCCAATATCAGATTCAAGTCAATAAAGAAAATATCCAAAGTTGATGAATAACATCTACATGAAAACAGAAGTTCTTTCGTATCTGATGAACCATGTACGTCAATAAGATTAATTGCAAAGCTGGTCATATATTACATGCCACTATATTTAATCAGGAGACATGAAGGACAAAGAAGGCAACGCAGGTTTCTACCGCTAGAGTATAAGCTCCATGAAGTTAAGTTGCCTTGCACTAGATAAATGCTTATTGAATTATTATTTCTAGAACTGTATTCTTCAAACAGCCAAGCTGTAATATATATATATTGTGTGTGTGTGTGTGTGTGTGTGTGTGTGTGTGTGTGTGTGTGTGTGTGTGTTGCATTGGTTTGTTTTTTTGGTAGGGAACACTAAAGACTTAGGTGAGCTTTAAAGAATGAAGCAAGTTAGGTTTTGATTACAATCTGTAAATGTAAATACAGTATTTTCCATTCTCCCCCAACCAAAAAAAAAAAATTTTTTTTAATGTGAAGAACTTTAACAAATATACTAATTTAAAATACAGGCATGACAAATAACTTTCGCTGCTTTGTTTTGAAAGTGATATAACAGGGAAGTCTTAATGAGACCTTCAAAAATCATCCCACAGATAAGACTTGTTTTCCCAGGCTTCAAAAAGATAAAATGAAGACATAGCATTTGGGACTTAGTGGATTAATGCTGATTTTTTTCACCTCTTGAGTGCTGGATTTAAACTGTATATGGCCTCTGTTCAATTTTTAGTGGGCACAGGTCCACGTTCTAAAACCACCACACATGTGGGAACTATTCCCAAGCAATTGGTGCTGTGTGGTCAGAAACAGGACAAGAATGGCAGTAAGGGTGCCAGAGGCCAGGACGCAGGTGCACTGCAGAGACGCGCACAAAAGTCCTAAAATCTGCATGTGTTTGAGTCATACCTAACTCTAGGGACTCTGATTGTTATTACTTTTCATAAGCATTAAAAAAAAAAATCAACATCACCCACTTCTGTTATAAAAAACCAATAGACATTACAGAGCAGCATGAACATTTTACCATTCTATTATTACACAGATTATTTCCTTAAATCTCGTGCCAGAACAAACCCAGACACCCATTCAAGTGGGAGACACAGAAGTTCTCTTTCCGTGCCCCACACAAAAGTGTTCAGGCTCAGACCCTTTTTCCCTTCTCCTTAAAAGAAAAAAAAAAAGTCATTTAATTTTAAGGTATAAAAATAAGTAATAGCTTTAGCTGTCACACATCTCCTATCATGACACAACTGGAAGACAAGCTGTAAATACTTGTCTTCAGTGTCAAGAGTAAAAAGTGTCACACCCAGCAGTTTCATGGGACTTCTAAATCAGCTGGTAACCTTCATCACTCACTTGAGTTTTCTAAAGAGCACTTGGGAATCTGCTGACAAGGTTCAGCCATGTGCAGAATATTAAATATCTTTCTTGCAATACACCGGTGGCTCAAATCTGTCTCTTGCTGTGCCACATGTACAGCTGTGCTGGAAAAGGAAACTATTAAATATATTAAAAAACCAGAAATATTACCCATAAATATATCTCATCAAATATGTGGTCCCCATTTATCCACAAAGAAAGAAAATGTGAGGGGTTTAATAACATATGAAAATCACTTTGCATGCAATAACCTCACAAGCCCTGTTGATAACATTTTAAAGCATTTTCCCCTAAAAGTTCTAAGCAATTTTATATAGTAGCCAACAGAGAATTTCCACAGGGAGGCTACAATATTATTGTTTATAGCTAAATGTAATGTAATTGTGATGCTGCTAAAGATAAGGAGTAAAGCAAGAAGAAACTTGAAAAGCTTACTTCATCCCCAGAATCTCTGGGTTCACAGGTGGGCCTACTTTTACGTGGAAAATTTACATTTCAGAGAAGGCCTGTAATACATCATTCATTAACACGAAAAGTACTGTAAATACAGTATGAAATTTGAAGTTACAATATACTTACAAGTTTACATTCAAAGCACTTTGAATATTATATTGTGTCATCCAAAGTTGGTAATTTGAAACAAATTATTTGATAATTATCCCTTTTCATTTTAAATTCTGATGAATTCCTCAGAGGAAACTGAAAGCTAGTTTGTAGTTATCAACAGTTTTATGAAAATCATTGATATATATTCAACTTTACACTTTTTAAAACTTTTTTCTCTCCATTTTCTCAAATTATTTTCATCTCCTTAACTAGTCTCGATATTTACCATCCTCAATATTTCTCTCTCTACCCTTCTAACCTTCATATATTAAATCTTAGCGTAAAGACCTGATTCAAAACTTTTTAAAAATAAAAATAAAAACTCCAACCAAGAGAAACTTGCAGGAAGACAGATATGAATGGAAAAGAACAAGAGGTGGTTGTTTTAAAATATAGAAATTAACATAAACGTCCAGAAAGTTATCATAAAAAAATTTCTAAAGGGGTAAATAAATTTCAGTTATGACTGAAAGAAACACCAAAGCTATTTTGGACATTTGAATTCCTCTTATAAATTCCACCTATATTTTTTTCTCTTATTAATGCCACCAATTAAAATAACGTTCTCTCCGACTAGAAACGTATTATAAATTTAAGGAATGGGTGAGTATACCTATCTCTGAAAATATACTATTTTCCAATTTAAGACATAATATCCTAGTGTTAACTTACATTACAGTTTTTTAAATTAGAATGTATCAATATGAAACTTGAAAGTCATATTAAAAAGGTCATGTTTCCATTGAAGACATCATTAAATCATTTCATCACAAGAATTTAATCACTGTTTCAATATGACAACATATTGTAGTCTAAACACAATGGCTTTACAAAACTAATTCTGAAGTAATGCACCAGGTCCGATATATTATAAATTCAAAGGAAAATGTTAGTGGGTTCAAGGTTGAGGATGTTTGTACATACTTTGAAAACTTTTTTTCTTTGAACAGCTTTAGGCTCCATCAAGATGTACTGACCCTGAAAAATGGTTGAGCTCAAATAAAGGCCAACTGTGTTTATAATGCTGAAAGGAAATATTGAGTTCTAAATTTGACAATTTATTTTTTGACAGCTTCAGAGTTATACTTACACACACACACACACACACACACACACACGCACCCCAATTATATTGGCAGACTTCCTTTTCTGCTATTTCATCTCCTGGAAAACTGTAATGTTTAAATTAAAGATCATAAGAAATTACACACGTTTTAGTTGGTCAACACTGATCCAGTCTTCTTATAAATAGTAAAATAACGTTAATTTACTTAAAATCCAGTGCAAAATATTCAATTACATAAGATGATTTACCTCAAACCACTGAGTAAGGAATTATTAATGACTCCATTTAAAAAAAATATGTCTTCACAAGGGCTAGTTTTACTTCAGATTCATGCAAATAATGGTGCTTAAAACTGGGTCATATTTCAATCCAAAAACCAAATGCCCCAGATTTACAAAAAACTTTCAAGAACACAAAAATCCATAAATAAGATATCGTTCAACTCCCCCAAATTCAAAATAAATTACATAACTTACTCTGTTTTCCTTCTTTGTTTGTCCTCAAAGATGTCATTGAGATTGATTGCCACCTGCCCTAAGAACTTATCCAGACCCACCAGGGACCTGTGCATCACTATGAGGAAAAGGATGTATTTCTCTGGATTCCCCTGCATGAGCAGCCCAGGGAGCTCGAAGGAGGCCTCTTCCTTCCAGACTGGCTCAAGGGTTTTCTCGGCTACCGAGGTGGAGTACTTTTCCTTGCCCAGCTGAATTATAGTGTATGTGTCATTGGTGCCACTTTTGCCTTTTGGCTTCAGATCTTTGGCTTGAAGCACTGTGACCTGCACGTGGGTCGGAAACCACTTTTGGGCTTGCTCGGACAGCATCATGCTGCCCGTTTCCTCCGCACCCAGCGCCCAAGCGCAGGCCGTGCAGTGCGCCTCCGGGAGGGAGAGCCTAAGGCCTCATCGCCGCATCCTAAGGGCACTTGACAGAGACGGGCAACCTGACAGCTGCCCCACGTCCCTAGGGCTGATGTCCGAGCGCCTCAATGGGGCAGCCCGGGGACACGGCTGCTCTGGGGAGGTCCCCTTTCCTCAGGAGCAGCACAGGGGCCCACCATTCCCCGGCCGCGCCGACCGGGCCCCTGGGCGCGCCCCGCCTCGAGTCCGCACCTTCACGCTCCGCCGGCCCCGGGGACGAGCCCTGGGCGGCGGCGGGCGGCTCCCCGGCCTGCGGGCAGGCGAGGCCTGGCCGCCGGGGCTCGGGCGGAGGGCTGCGGAGTTGGGAGGGCGCCCCCCCCGTCCTCCAGGCTAGAGCTCGCTCGCCCAAGCTCGCAGTCCCCGGCCCCCCGCCCGCCTCCTCTCGGCCGGGCCGCCCTCGCCTCCTCCGCGCCTCCCGCCCGCCCCACGCTGGCCCGCGGGGCCGGGCCGGGGCTCCTCCTCCCGACCCCGGTAATACGAACCGCCGGCGGCTCGCGCGGCCTCGCTCCCTCTAGCAAGCCTCTCCCTCCTTCTCCTCCCCCTCGCCTCGGCTCCTCCTCTCGGGCGGGGGCGGGGGCGGGTCGCCTGGGGGTGGCGTGGGACGTGGGGCAGGGGACGCGGGCGCTCCGGCGCCAGCGGGCCGCGGGCTGCAGGCCGATGGGCACCCGGGTCCGCCTCGCCCGGCCGGCGGCTCCTAGCACCGGGCGGGCGGTGGCGGCGGCGGCACTTCCGGGTTGCCCTTCTCCATGTTGATCTCGGGAACGCGACGGGGCGGGGCCGGGCGGGGCCGCGGGGGTTAGGGGTCAGCGCCTCCCTGGTTGCTGTGGCGACCGGGGGCGCGCGACGCGAGCGCCAGGCCCAAGGCTGGGTGTTCCTCCGATCGGTTCGCGTTGGCTGCTCCGGCCTGGCACAGCCCGTGCTCGGGGAACGTTGGGGCCTACACCGGCGGGCAGTGGGGAGCAGGGGGGGGATATGAGGGGAGCGGGGCCCCGCTCCTGAGAGGTGTCAATCAAGGCCCGGGGCCTGCCCAATCTGGAGAAAGACCCGATTTCAGTCTTTGGAAGCAGTCTTGGCCTTACCGTGGGTGCCCAGGGCCTGGCACAATGCAGGCTTTCGAGAAAGGGTGGTGGAGTGAATCAGTGTTCTTCATTGACCGAAAACACAGTTTTCCTCAACTCTTTTCCTTTTGAAAAAAAGAGAAGGCTGTTAATTGATTGGAAATACACACACACACACACACACACACACACAGGGATTAATGAAGATCGCAGGAGGCACTGGGTTGGAGTCATAAGACCTGTATCCGACCCCATGTCTGCCACCATCAGTCTGTATGACCTTGGTCAAGTCATTTTCCTTCCCTGAGCCTCAGTTTCATCATGGGTAAGAAAACTCTTGTCTAAGACCACAAGGCAACTGTATGGACTCAATGTCAAAAGGACCCCTTGGGGCATTGCAGTCTGGTAGACTATCCAACTCAGAAGAAGCCAAACCCAGAGATCATCATCAACTAAGAAAAACAAACAGCTTCCTTCACCAAAGGCACAGACTTACTTGCTACTGAGGGCAAGGCCTGATGGACCCCATTGCTGTTGGGATGAAAGGGTCTTTGTTAAGAGAAGAAAATGGGGATATGTTAATACTGTGCTTTTTCTGCGCTAGTCTGATCTAGTGGGAAATGTATGCATAATGGCTGATGAGTCAGGAGCCTTGCTTGATGCCTCAGCTCTGCCAGAAATTCGGTACATAGCTCGTGATGGGCACTTAGCCTCCTAAGGCAAGGAGTTTAGGTTCTGGGAGCCTCCATTCCCTTGTCCATATATTGTAGATAAAATAGCTATCAGAGAGTTGGGAGGAGGATTATGAGAACTTACGTTCTCCAGCAGTGTCTCCCTTTGCCCCTCTATTTCTCAATTAAAAGAAACTTTTATATACTCCCTTTATTGCTTTTATTTCTGTTCATATCTTATTTTCGCAAGGAAATGCTAAGTTTTTTGGACTGCCTTATGTATCATGGCTATCGTTTCACAGTGGCCAGCGTGCAGTAGGCACACAATTTATTGAATGACTTAGTGTCTTTTCTCCCTTTACAGAGCTAATTCTGAGAGTAAAGCAATATGATAGATGTACATACACTTTTCCAGCTTAACATGGCCATAAAAGTGTAAGGTATTATGTTTATTATTTTCAGACAAGGTTTAAAACTTTTCCATTTGAGGAGGACATTATGTTCTCCAGGGGTTTTTGGGTTTTTTTTTAATGTTTACAGGATACTAGCTGCAGCACTTAAAGCCCTAAAAACCAAGAGTCTTTTCTTCAAATATTTTTTGAATGGAGGTATGTGAGGGCTCAGTATATCTGTGTCGGAAAAGCAACCATAGAGTTGAAAAGCCTTTGGGGGCACGGGGAGAAGAGGATAACATTATACATTATTTTAACCTTACTGAAGGAAGATACTGCCTTGACGCTAAAGGATAACACCACAAACCTCAAAGACCACCCAGATTCCAGCACATTCTTTCAAGGGCCCACTGACACTCGTTAGTGTCTATAGATTTCCTTTAACTTCTTGGAAACTCCAGTTTTCTAGTGCTGTTTACACACAGTGGCTGGTGTGAGTTCTGCATGAAGTAGGCACTTCAAAAGAGACAATGAGTTAATTTACCACCACCAAGCTTTTCAGGGAACCAAGCTACAGATGAGCCTTAAATAATCCTGAGCTAGATACCATCCAGAAGGAAAAGACCCGGTTTTAGGTCATCCTACTGAAAGTTTACTACAAAATGTTTAAAAAGAGGCAGAATTTTTTTATCTTCGAGAGACAGTGTATGAAAAGGCCATGTGTGGGACAGAGAGCAAAATCACTGTACTGTGAATATAGCATCTGGATCCCAGAGTGGGCAGTTGTCAACCTTAAAGAAAAATATTCTTTAGGAATTTTTAATTTTTAAAGAGTGCTTTGGACTAGTCAATGGTGGAATTTCAACCAGGACCCCCAGAGAGAAATCACCGGATACTTAAAACTTGTAAAAACGAAGTAAGCATCATGAAAAAAAAATGTAGTTATGCTGAGAATTTTTATGAATTGCATTTTTAAAAGTCTTCAAGTCTCTATTCAAGGTTGTAATTAAATAAACAGTGGGCAATTAATTATAGTAGTGGGTGTGTGTTTCTAAAGAGCTCAAATTGTTTGGTAAGCTTTATTAATGAGTATAAATGTGTTTACAAGTATCATGTCACTCATCTCTGAAATACAGCCATCTCTAGGGTGTAAGTTGGCAGGGGTAGTTCACAACAATGCAATAACACTCCAACAAAATTCAGGGAATACTCTTAAGGCAAGAGCTAAACAACTGGAATTGCTAACATTTCTTCCTGTAGCACCTAAATTTCATTTGAGTTTTCCCAAAACCCGGTTAGAGCCAAAATCTTTTAATTTTACTACTTGGCAAGATCAGGAGTTATGACTTAATGTTTGTAAGCCAGAATAAGAGAAAATAACATATTTTTGCCCAAAGCAAGCATACAAACAACAACAAAAAAGAGCTAAATAGACTTAAGAATTGTATTGTGAAAGTGAAGTGATTTCTTATAAGAAAGTGTTGTTCCTGTTTTGATTATTCCTATTAAGAGAGTAAAAATATGTCAGTTGGGTCAAATATATGGTTGGCTCATAGTGAAACATAGTAGCAACTACATAAGATCTGGGATCAAAGGTGTTCTGTAAAAATGTTTATTGTCGTACAGTTTTTAAAATTCTTCTTACTAATTTTAAGATATACATGGACAGGAATTTAAAACGGGAAGGAGGATTACATACATAAGGACAACAAACCAGAATCGAAAACAGTCACTTTTTTTTATTCTATGACTAATGACATGTCCAAAATGTTTGGTATAATTCTAAATTCAAGAGCTTAGGGAAATAATACATCTTAAAGGAGGAAAATGCTGAAATTTCTCATTTGAAACTGTTACAGTGACTGATGTAATGAATAAGAATGATTGACCAGAAAGTAAAACAGTCAATATTTAGTCTCCAATGGTGTAGGACGTCACAGATGAAAATATTTGCTAAGCACTGCTCCTTTCAGTAAAATCCTGTAGGAGACTTATTCCAAGCACTGTGAAAGGATTTTTCCCTTGAGCATCAGCATCTCTAAAATTGCCACTTGCAAATCCATTGTAGGACAATTATAAAGCTCTTAGTGTTTAAATAACCCACTGGGTCAAGAGTGTTAACGCGCCCATATACGATACGTAGCAGATATTAATTATTTTCCAGTTGGAGTTTCCAAAGTACCATTACAATCTTCATACTTCACACACACACACAAAGTCAAATATATATACAACTCAAATATATAAAAATTTATACACATATATATGGCAAAACTGCAGAGTACACAGATTAATCTCCACATAACCAGTTAAAAAGCAAAAAACTATTTGGCAAATGGACTTGAAATTGTAATTGTAATAAACAAATATTTGGGGGAGGGTTGGTAATTGCTCTGTTTTTATCACCGAGCTGATGAATTTGTCTTCTGGGGCTGGGCAGTGTATGGACACAGTTTGTAATGCATGAACAGTGTGGTATGTCATATTATTATATAAAGAGCCTCAGTCAGCAGCCTGGGACTTAATCCCAAGTCTGCCTATTACTAGCTCCATATCTTTAGGGAAGTAATTTTCCTTCTTTGGACCTCTGTTTCTTCATCTGTAAAATAAGAGTCTATAATAGGAACCACTAAAGCATTCTCTAACATTTAATAATTCTAAGTAGTATATCCACAACACAAAGCAGCAAATTGCATTATAATTACCTAATTGAATTTGGTCAATATATTAAAGCAGATTCCTTTTTTATGTAACTTATTAATGAAGGCTCCTTTAATTCAGGAGGAAAAAAATCCTCAAGAATGTCCTGAGAGTTCTTTCTCCCAAATGAAAATGATCATTGCAGAAAGGAAGTAAATATATCTTTTATTAATAGGACTTGCGTGAGGAAATTGACACTAACAACTCAAGATTAGGAAGAAATTACAAATAAGTGCAAGTGGTTTTGAAAAGCTTGAAAGTTTTCACTTGTAGTAATAAACATAACTTCTATTCATATGACTTGTAGCTTTTTCAAACTATGGAGACATGCTGAGGAAGGTAAGAATTTATGGAGCAGAATACATTTTGCACATAAGAGTATTTTGTGTGGATGTCTTTTAATTTCCTCTTTATGGTATCATACTATCATGTCATGCAATTTTTGTTTCTTCAACAAAATCAACACATGCTAATAATGCATGGAACGTGAATTGATTTATGTTAACTGTCAGGCGGTATTGG